TTTTGGTCACAGAGCATAGTTTCCTGCAAATGAATGTATTTTGCTCCTAACAAGTGTAAATGAGTCACAGTACAAGTTTAAGTGGATATCTTATGTTTTAGTTTTAGTGTCACAATGAACGCATTTAGGATTATTCAGCAAATGTTGCTCAACTGTAGAATCAGCAATCTTGCTACTGTTGCAATGTGACCAGCTTTACTCTTTAGTGCTCAATTTTAGAACGTTAATGTACCATCCCCCTTTGCAATACCTCATTAGACTAACAATGAATTGAAATGTAGTGCCATGATTCATGGAGTACTAACACATAGTTCTACCTTAACTTGCCTCATTCTGGTTGTCACCCTACTTCCAAATAGCAATTGTTTTGCTCTACCATGTGATCAAAGTTAGCAGCTTCCTTGATTAGCAGAAGCCCAGTTAAACCTGTTACAAGTCTTTCAGATGGATTTGAATCCATTGGTCCGCATAAAATACCACTGCCAACATCATCGTTGACCCTGACATTTTCTTTTAAACTTTAATGAGTAAACTCATTGTAAGGATTTGCAGTGTGGCATCTGAAAGAAGCAAAGACATACTCCAGTGGTCAATATGGCAGAATTTCAACTTTACTTGCAAAGCAGATTAGTTTTGGCTGATCTAAGAACTTAGTCTGGGCTATATCCCAAAATGGTGACTTTGGGATTTAAGGGCTCTGAATTTCAGAGTATTCTGGCATGCAATCCAAACACAATATGTATTCAAAAGAGTCTGGCTACAATAACATTATTAAATGTTACCATTGCTGTATTATGCAAGCATCCAAAAGCTGAAATTAACGGAGTTAGATGTCACATGCCACCAGATTATAGTCCAACAGGTTTATTTGAAATCACAAGCTTTCGAAGCACTGCTCCTTTGTCTGGTGAAGTGACAAAGGAGCAGTGCTCAGAAAGCTTGTGATTTCAAACTAAACCTGTTGGACTATAACCTGGTGTCATGTGACTTCTGACTTTGTCCACCATAGTCCAACACCAGCACCTCCACATCATGAAGTTAACAAAGGGTGAGGTAAAGGGAGAGGAAAGGCACTTAAATGCAACTTCTTTCACTTCTTGATCCCTGGCTGTTTGCGGGTATACAATAAAACTCCTCAGCAGAACACCACTGGTAGTTGAACCTTTACCCTGCTATAGAAACAGGAATTCCCTACTGTTAAGATATGCAAACCTACAAAATTGATTCAGACTGATTAACAGTTTCAAAAAGAGGTTGATGTATCCCCCAAGAAATGAACTGACCAAAATGAAAATCCTAAAGACAGGCCTTTTAACACACGAAGGTGCGACACACTGAAAGTGCAGCAGAACATTGGCTTGTTGTGAAATAAGAATCATAGAATCCCTACAGAGTGGCAACAGGCCCTTCAGCCCAACAAGTCTACACTGACTCTCAGAGCATCCCACCCAGACCCATCCCCCTAATCTACACATCCCTCAACACTGTGGGCAATTTTTCATAGCCAATCCACCTATCCTGCACATCTTTGGACTGTGGGAGGAAACTGGAACAAATCCATACAGACACAGGGAGAATGTGCAGACTCCACACAGACAGTTGCCAAAGGATGGAATTGAACCTGAGTCCATAGCGCTGTGAAGTAACAGTGTTAACCACTGAGCCACTGTGCTGCCCCAATAAGCTGCAATGATATTAACATTCAGTCTGTTGTGTTGTAGAAGTAATATAGAACTTTAGTTACAAAATTGTTGCTGGCGGTAGTGAAGGATTTATAGCTGAGTGGAAGGAGATATTCATTCTGACCACATGATATTATGTACCTACCGATCCCAGTGTTATTCCCGGGAAATGTTGACTGTGATCATATTTTTGTTGCAGCTTCTCATATTTTGGTGCTTACTATAATGGTGCATGGAAGGTCTTACACTGAAGAACAATTTCTGTACCCCAGAGTAGATGCAGTGGTTTTCCACATAGTCGTAATAACAATGTCCATTATTCTAACAGAACTTGTACTCAATTGTTCTTATGCAATAAATGCATCTTGTTGAAGATAAGACACTCTTCTCATTAGACTATCCAGTGGTTTTCTTCCACCACATTAGCAGATGCTGGCGTGCTTTAGTTGCTGGGTCCACCTACTTGTTGACCTGTGACCCAGAATGTCTGCCCCACAGTCTCCTCAAACTGTGGCACATGTTTTAAATAGGATAAGGAAAACATAGTTTTTGTGATGAATTCAACACAAATTTGCAGGGTCCATTAAATCTGCTCCCAGATACAGCATCCTCATTTGCAATCTGGAATCTTTCGCAACACGCACATATAGTTATCCCACGCAAATTTACATTGACATGTGGAAAACAAAATCACCCACTCATCCAGCTGTTGCTGGCCCTAACCACATGTCAAGATTGAAACAGGCCTCATATTCAATGTTTTCGGGTCTGTTGTCTTAACCTGTATACAAAAGCAACATTTAATTTAAAGTGCTTCCAGGAAAGAGGAGTTGAGTTGATATTACTGAAACAGACCCATTGAATCAGGTTCTGATGCAGATTCGCATCAAAACGTTAAGAGTTTTGACGCAAATCAGCAACCAGAGGTCAAATAGTTTTCTGCAATGTGAGGCTAGAAATTGCAAGTTGATGATGGAGGAACAGTCTTGAGGGAATCAAATAGCCCTTTCCTGTTTCTCATTCATATGTTCTATGTTCATACAGGAATAGTGGATGAATGTTTGAGCAGTAGCTGGCATTGTTATAATAAATGGAGTTAAAAATGGAAGATCTTATAGATACATTATTATTCATCTGCTTCATCATCGGCTGTCGGTCAAAATTGCCCCTTCAGGGGTCATTGGTAGCTTTACGTACTCTGGACATTCCCGAAAAAAAAAGGAACGTGGAACTGAATGTTTACCAACTGGAACTGTCTCTATAGCTGAGATTTGTTATCTGAAGAACTCTCACTGGTTATGAGTTTCACAACCAACATTTCCTGATGTACATTGAGCTCTCTGCTGCAGAAGGTACAATCTCTGCACCTGGTTAAAGGTACCTGCTTTATAAATATTTTGTCAAACTGAAACAATTTGTTGGGGCAACTGAGAGCTCCAAGGATCAATGGAAAGTACAGCATTCTCGTCCTCAGCCTCTGGCCTTGGTTGTGTTTCCACAGGCAGTTTAGCTAAGCAAAGACATCAATGGTATCATGATGGCAGTGGACATTATAAAAGCCCAAGAATTGGGGATGGGTGGATAGTCCTGGAACAGGCCACACAGGGGCTGGTGGGCTTGGGAGGAATTCATCGAAGGCAGTAAAAGTCTCATCTCATCAAGCTTTATCATATCACTGCTTTTCTCTTTCCCTCTTGTTCTTTTGTTCTCTCTGCCCTTAGTTTCTGGTCCTTACTGTGTTATTCACTCCTGTTCTGTTTCTTTCTCTGTGTTTCTGTTGTACTCTGCCTTTCTCATCCCCTTTGTTTTCAGCTGTTCTCTGTTCCATGTTTCTCTCTTTTTATTTATTACATGGGCCCAGTTGACACGTTAGCCAGTGGTCAGTTTGGACCAGGCGGCAAAACACTTGAGGAGATAGCTCATTGGTGCAGGATCCAGTGAGGAGTCCAGGTGGTTCCAGTCCATGGCTCTGGGACAGCAGACGGATGTTAGTGTTGGATCAACGTTGATAAGGGGACAGGTGGAAATCTGGCCACAATCATATGCTAGTTTCTACGTCAAAGCTGCAGAGAAATGACGCACATATCTCACAGTCCAGGGTTGTGGAGACAGAGTGAGAGCGCCAGGGTGGAGTTACTGAGAACTGCAACCCTGTACCACATAACCTCAGGAGGACAAAAAGCCAAGTATAACGGGAAGCTGGCTTTTATTGGCTTTAATTTAGACCCAGGCATGAAGGACATAGTGCAACAGCAACCAGACTGAGCCACAAAATGTGAGTGTAGCAAATACAAAGTCTCAAATTGTTTAATGTGTCACATGATTGAATGTGTCAGTATGCTATGGCCAGTTAAGTGGGGCGAGTATTCAGCATTCAAAGTGACTCTTATTTTGCCGTAAAAACGAGTTTCCTTCACTTCTCATTTGGGAGAACAGAGAAATGTTATCATGCTGTGTCCTGAACTAATGGTGAATGAAGCTGTGGCTCACACTTGACTCATTAAACGTTCAGTTAACTATTTACTCTGGGTCAACAATGGGAAACGGAAGCAATTTGACAAGAGGGTCAGAAGAAACAAGCTTTCTTTTTTAATAAACAACCCCCACTCCCCCTACTCTTCCAAATCCTTCCCTCGTTGTTCCCATTTGTCGTAAACCTATTCATCAGCCTTTTTCAGCGAAAAGGATGTACAATTGAGCCAAACTTTCATTTTTGATCTGAAACCTCAAGTACAGCACAATCTATAAAGACCTAGAAAAGTAACTGTACTGGTGATTGTAACCACAACCAAGCAAGTGAGGTCACTGGAATTTTTTTCTTGATTCATCCACCACACAAATACTTTCAGAGAAATTACCACCTGCTTCTTTGTGAAGTGCTGCCCACGCTCAGTGACAGCTGGGTTTGGTGATCTGACAAAGCACAACATGTTCAGACAAGCGTGGATCTATCGATACCTGTGTTCAGGCCAAAGAGGAAGTCAAACAGAAAGCCAATTACTGAAGAGTTGCTAAACGGACACCTGCACAAGTGACTCATCAGGTTGAGACCATTTAAGCAATTTGACTCCCTACACACAGAAAGCAATTAGTTCACGGGGGGTGGGAAGGTTTGTTGCTGTTAAACAAATATTTTGTTGACATATTGTAACTATCGAGCCTTGTTGTTATCAAAACTGGAATTAAGTGGTGTTGCTGACACGCATCTTATCCTTTCCAGAAGCTTCTATCAGCAAGATTGATTCTCAGCTGCATTCTAAGGATCATTCTGAGTTTATCTGGCTGACAGTAAGGTTTCATCACCAGCCAAGCATGACAGAATTTCAGAGCATTTATTTCAGACCAATTCATTGATTGGAAAACTGAGGACAATGGACAAATAATTCTTGCTGCTAACTTTCAGCAGCCACCCTGATGGCAGCACCAGAAGAGTATTCCTAATGTCTTAGCAAACCATTCAACTCTTAGGTGTGTTCATTTCCCCTTTTATTTGGAAGACTTCTTGATCCATGTTCATTTGGTAGGGTAGATGTTCCATTGTACACCATAAGCTGTTTCAGTGATGACAGTGTTCACAAACAAAATCAATGTACTGTGGTGGCATTTGGTACCCTCCCTGAACCAGCAGTTTGTGAAGAAACAAATCTGGTAAAAGAAGAGACAAATTACCAGAAAAGTTCAGCAGGTCTGGCAGCATCTGTGGAGAGAAATTAGAGTTAGCATTTCAGGTTAACTGACCCTTTCTCAAAATGGGATGTTTGCAAGCATTCTAAAGGCCTCACAGTGAGCATGTAAAAACGTCTTTGCAGTTTCTAGCACAGATACTTCCTTGTAACTACTCCTGCTGAATCAATATAAATTCATACGTTTATTGGAACCCCCATGTAAATAAACTTTTCAATGCACCTCTAGCAAGATTATAACGGAAGACCGGGAATACGACTGAGGGAAACCCATCCTTCATATCATTAACCTCTGCAAATCAGTCACATGCCAACTTCCCCAATTTCTTTCACCTCGCACATTTCCACTAGTATGACTTGCACATATAAAACCGACAATGTTGGGATTAGTTGCTGCGCTCTGATGGAGAAGCAAGAGTTAATTTATCTCCTTAGAGATATGTTTGGCAGTTCACTATTTTATCTGTTCTTGTTTCTCTGCTTTTATTTGTCTGCATTTTTAGTCATGCATTACTTCCTGCTTTTGTCAAGGATCTTTTGTTTAACTTACACCAGAGTGTTTTCTTCCAGTAATCTTTATCCCACAATACTTTCAGAGAAATCTGCAATTTCACTTGCAGCAGGATAACTGCTCAACATTCTAGGATTTGGAGAAGGAGAAGGCTTTTGTGTAACAGTGGTGGTATCCCTCCCTTTGAGCCGGAAGGTCCAGGTTCAAGTTTCACCTGCTCCAAAGGTGTGTCATTACGTGTCTGAACCAGTTGATTAAATATACTGAAGACGTTTGGAGGAAAGCAGATGCAATTCAAGTTGAAACGTTTGGCTCCTGGTCACCCGGTCTACTTGCTTTGACCTAGTCACACCTATCTGGATAAACTTAAGATTTTTGTCTTCATTATCTACGCTCCATGAGTGAAGTTGATATTCCAGATGATTTCCACAACAGAAACTGTTCTGCTTTCTGCTATGAATGACATGACCATGCTATTAGCTGTTTGCAAGGCAACAGTAGATCACCCCTGTTTGCAGTGCACCAAGACCTTGAATGAGATACAAAATCTAGTTTGTTAGAGGGAAACGCTTTCATTGCTTTCCCCACAAAAAGAGGCTACACCAGGAGGGGCAATGCATTTTCACCAAGTGACAGCAGGATTCCCACATATACAGCTCATTATTGATGACAACCTTGTTCAAACAAGCTTTGAACCACAAAACACCAAGAAGGGTCCCAATCCGAAACATCAACTTTCCTGCTCCTCTGATGCTGCCTGGCCTGCTATGTTCCTCCAGCTCCATACTGTGTTGTCTCTGACTCCAGCATCTGTAGTTCTTACTATCTCTACTTTCTTATATCATATTTACTACATTTGAAAATCACTATAAATCTCAGTGCTTTTACAAGCAGTAACAGTTTCTCCCTAACTACACTATTCAGCCCCATATGCTTTTAAAAACTTCAAACAAGATCTCCTCTTAACCTTCTTCTCTCCAAGGAGACCTGTCCCAGACTCTCCAATCTATCCTTATTATTGACATTTCTCCTCCCTGGAAACATTCTTGTAAATCTCTTCTGCACTGTCTCCAATGCTTCCTATAATGTTCTGGCCAGAAATATACACAACACTCAAGCTGCGGTCTAACTGTATCTGGTGTTCATTCAATCTTCTTGCTCTTGTGTTCTATGTCTCTATTAATAAAGCCCAAAATACTGTTTGCTTTGCTAACTATTCTCTGCATCTCTCCTGCCACATTCAGTGATCAATGCACACATACACCCAGGACCTTTGCTGCTGTACCTCCTTAAGTATAATACCTCCTGTTTTATATTGGCTGACAGTGTTCTTCCTACTAAAATGCACAACCTCACATACTTCTTTGTACTGAAATCCATCTACTACCTATCTGCACACTCCACCAACTTGACTATGTCTTTTTGGAATTCTACACTGTCCTCTTCACAATTCATAATGCTTTCAAATTTTATGTCATACACAAATTTGAAATTGTCTCCTACATACCAAGATCGGGATCATTAATACATAATCAGGGAAAGCAAATGTCCAAGACTGACCCCTGGAAAGTCCACTGCAAACCTTCCTCCAGTCCATAAAATATCCATTGGCCATTACTCAGTTAATTTTTTGCCATGTTCCTTCTGTCCCTTTTATTCCATGAGATGTAACTTTTCTCACAAGTCTGTTGTGTGGCAATGTATCAAATGCCATTTGAAAATCCATGCACACCACATCAACAGTGTTATCCTCATTGAGCCTTCTGTTATCTGTGTAAAATCTGTCCAGATCCATGCTGGCTTTTTTTTCTCTATGACCTACATTTTTCAATGTGACTACTAACTCCAAACCAAATAATTATTTCTAGATGATCCCCACAACTGAAGTTAAACTGGCTGGTCTGTAATTGTTGGGATTATCTTTATAACCTTTCTTGAATAAGTGCCAACTATTTGCAATCCTTCTGCACTCCCTGAGTCTCAGGAAGACTGAAAGGTTATGTCCAATGCTGCTGCCATTTCCATTCTCACTTTCTTCAAAAGCCTTGGATGCATCTCATCAGGTGCCAGGGCCTTGTCAACTTTAAGTATCAACAGTGTACCCCAGGCTTCCTCCTCATTAATTTTCACCATTTCTAGTGACAAAGATTCCTTCTCTGCTACCATGGTCTGGGCATGAGAAAGGCACATCAGAGAATTCATTTAAAAGCCGCAACCATGCCTCTTGCCTCCATTTGTCCATCCCCTTCCTGACTCTTCCTTTTACTACCCACTTGCTATTGATGTGCCAATAGAGCACTGTAAGATTCTTCAATATTGGCCATTAGGTTCCTCTTATAATCCTCCTTTACCTCTCTAGTATGCTTTTTCTCCTCCCCTCTGAACCCTGTGTACTCCTTTTGGTTCTGAATTGTAGTTTCTACTCAATACCTGTCATAAGCACACTTATTTTCCTTCGTTTTAACTTTTTCATCCAGGCAGTTCTAGATTCATTTACCCTCCTTTTCTCCTTTGAAGAAATATACCTTGACTGTACCCAAACTATCTTCCCTTTGAAGCTGGCCTATTGTTCAGCTATGTTCTTCCTGTCAGCCAGTCTATCCAACCCAATTTAATTCTTGCTCCAAGGAAGATCAGGCAGTCTCCACTGATTACTACTGGAGGACTATGGAGAGGTGTTGCAGCCTTGATTTCCTGGAGAATCCCATGATAAAATACAGAATGCAGCAAATGCACACATTTCCACCTATGTTATGTGGAACATTTGGCTAGTTCAAGCAGAGATTGTGCTGGTCAAGTAACATTGTTCACTCATCCTCACAAAGTCTTCAACAACATCTGCTGCACAGTGCAAACTACTCTTCAACTAGAGGCAAGGAAGAGAAAGGACAAGAAATACACAAAGATAAATTGATTCATTGACAGCACTTCTACCAGAAACCTGCAGCTTAACCCCTACATCAGTGCTGTTCGTAAAGTAAAACAGAGTGACCCAACAAACAATAAATGGTCCATTACAATGATTTGTACCTTAATTACCATGTACGCTTATCACATACTGCTTAATAATTCCCTTACTTTCCCCCTTGTCTCCATGGTAGGGATACAAATACTAGATGTAGTTTCGTTAGAAACTATGTTTTGGTTTTCTTTCATTCAGTCATTCACGTTGTTGATTGGTGTGATGTGTGATGGATTTTCCATAAGTGGGAGCTGCTTTTAATATGATTATATACCTTTTAAATATGCAAGACCGACACTCCAAAGAGCATCCCACCCAGGCCCACCGCCCCCAGTACCATATCCCTGTGATCATGCATTTCCCATAGCTAACCCATCTAGCCTGCATATCCCTGGACACTATGTGTAATTTAGCATGGCCATCCACCTAGCCTGCACATCTTTGGACTGTGGGAGAAAACCAAAGCAGCTGGAGGAAACCCACACAGACATGGGGAGAATATACAAACATCACACAGACAGGTGCTCAAGGCTGGAATCAAACCCAGGTCCCTGGCGCTGTGAAGCAGCAGTGTTAACCACTGAGCCACTGCGCTACTCGATTCATTTCAATTTGCTGGTGGAGTCGAAGAGAAATTTTCCAGAATATTTCCCTTCATGACCCTGTTTTCTTTTATTTCTTCGCTTCTCCCAGGCAATTATTTGTGGGTGGAGATAAAGGCCTGCATCATGGCTTTCAGCCAACAAGAGGTTGGGTCACCTTCACCCATCTATCAATTTTGACTGCCCATAGCATTGTGCAATGAAAAATATTTGGGTGAAACAGCTTTATTTTAAAAGGTAGTGAGAAACAACTTGAAACAAGTAGAAAGGGACCAGAAAGGAAAACAATATTAAAAAAAATTAAATACAATTAGTCCTTTCACCTGATACAATAAAAATGAACATAATGCTTGAATTTTTGTTGTGGCAATTAGTTTTCCTTCAAAAGTGCACAATTTCTTCACTGATAATGATTAACACAAAGTTTGAGGACTCCACACAAACAAAAGAAACAATCAAACTTCGACAAGCAAATCAAAAACATAAATTATATTAGAATGATTCATCAAGATATTTTGATCCAAGTGGGCCCTAATACAATCTGTCCTGGTAAAATGTTTATTTGCTAACGTGAAAAATATTGCTCTGTTCTGTTTTCTATGCAAAGGTTCAATCACTGCGGATCTTAAAAATAATAATTGCAGCAGATCGCTTGATTCTGGCTTTTGCAATAAACTAGCAGGTTTTGCCAATAAATCTCCTATCTTAAGCATGAAAATTTACCGGAACTATTTCTTAGTTTATTAAGGATGGATTGACAGTACATTAAAAAGAAATTTAAAAAGTCGATTTGATCATCTGATTGTAATTACAGTTTGCATTTATCTTAGCACATTATTTTACCTGCTGATTTCATTAACTTTGTGAAGTTTGAAGGACATTTTCACACTATCACTGTTTACTGCAACAGCTGAGAATTCAGAGCTCGGGTGGATAGGGGACAGGAAACAGGGTGTTTCACCTGGTTTGCACAGGCTTGCACCAGCCTGGCTCCTCTCAGCGTGCACCAAGGTTACAGGCACAAAACTCATTAGAGCATTCGCTTGAGGACGTTATTAAAGGCTGTGTCCTTACTAAGCTGGGAATTCTGATGAATAGCAGCCTTGGAGTAAGACAAGCTCTGTGTGCCTTCAAAGCTTTGAGCAATCCCCCTTTCTGCAGCTCTGACAGGCAGTTTTAAATCAATGTAACTAAACCTTGTGGTGCTAATCGGCAGAGCGGCTTTGAGGTCATTTTTCTTTCTTTAGAATTGCATTTCCTCGGCTCTTTGTGACTTTTTTGTCCTCTTTGACTGGATTTTTATGCAGTTGTCTTTTATTTTTCCATTTGAATCTAAGGTAGAGTTGCCAGCCCTCCATGATTGCCCTGGCATCTCCAAGCATTAAAGATTAATCTCCAGGACACAGCTGCGAGCAAGTTCAGAAGACAAATTATTGGGTCATTAAACCAAGTCGTGTTTCTTCGAATGTGTTCATTTTTTTTGTCATAAACTTAGTAGAGATTGGGGGAAGGAAGAAAAAAACAAGGTAGTTTCACTAAGAATAAAGGATAATCCAACTAGGAAATAAAGTGTTCATTTTCTAATAGGCGTGGGAAGGGAGTTTGGGTCACATTCGGGACATCATGTGATGAACACTCCAGGAATACCCCCAGCTAGATTGGCATCTCTAATCTGAAAGCAGCGCACTTCTTGATACTGCTCCAAGTCACCAGCATTACTTTGGCAGGGCAGACACTGTGGGCAACACATTCGTGCCAGGAGCTCGTTGGTCGGCCGTGGCAAGTCCACCCCACTTAGAGGAAGGGCATCATGCCTCAAAATGGTGGAAGCCATGGGCTTCAGGCCACACGCAAGGTGGAGCTGCGGCATTGAAAATCAGTGAAGGCATATTCCCCCCTTCACCTCCCCTCCTCCCACTATCTTCCCCCCTCCCCTCCCAATCACGCCCCCCCCCACCCCCAATCACCTGACGGTCCTGCTGGGGTGGAGCCCCTGCCTCTGGGTTAAATTCCAGCCCCAGTACACCAGTTTGATTCACTTTTTACTTCTTAGGAAGTCTTTCAAAGGTGCTACGGAAGAGGATTAACAGGACTCCCCCCCTCCCCCCATCCCTTCACCCCCTCCCCACCCCCCTCTCCTCCCCCCCGCCCCACCCCACCCCCGCCCCCACCTCCCCCTCCCCCAGGACCAAGCTGCATGTTCTTCTAATCTTACTTCGAATAGCTCAGTCACTGACCACACACCTCGATCACTTCGTCAATCACTGTCTGACTGAAGGCAAGGGAACCTTATGTTAGAAGGGGAACCTGTTTAACAGGGAGGTCTTGCATTCCACTGGGTGGGCTTACCCTGTACACACTGGAGTGTCACTCCATCGACTGCAATGAAGAAAGCTGTGCAGGTAAACACCAATCTCCAGCCCAGGTTAGAAAACTTCCCCTCCCCCTTCACTCACCTCCCACCCCTCCCCCAGCAAATTATCCAGGTAGTGCTGGTGCTATACTCAGGCTACTGTCGCCTGTTCAGGTGAATTGTTTTCGGTGCTGGGAGAATGGGGCTTAGGCCAGAACATTCTCCAGATCTGCTCCGGTTCCACCAGAGTTTCCTCGCTCGAAACCCCAAACTCTCTGACACACAAACAAGTGGGTTCCTCCTTTGTGATACCAAACTGGAGCTGGAACTGTTTCCAGTTCCTGAACCTGACCTGGGTGGGTGTGGTCACTTGTCGGTATTTAACAGGAGCGCTCTCCTTTAATTGGCAAGTGCACAGATTTTCTGTCCATTTAACGATGGCAGGTGGGCTCTTGAAGCTAAAAAGCCAATCCACAGCCTTCCAGCTTCAGAGAAGTAGCTGACTGTGCCCCATTGCCTCCTCAAACTGTGGCACACGTTTTAAATAGGATAAGGAAAATGTGGTTTTTGTGATGAATTCAACACAAATTTGCAGGGTCCATTAAATCTGCTCCCAGATGCAGCATCCTCATTTGCAATCTGGAATCTTTCACAACACGCACATATAGAAGGTGAACATGGAAGTGTTGTCTCACTGGCTTTTTAAACAAGTCAACTGAAAAATAGAGAAACAAATCTGTTTGTATTACAGCTACGCAGCCTTTAGGATATATGAGCAGAACCTGCTTACTCCGTGCACCTGAACAGGATGTTGAAGTCCTTCCTCATCCTACTTCTTGTAGACTCTGCATTGACTTGCCCAGTCCTTTCCTGATTGCAACTTGCTTAAAGCAAAGCCCTGCTCTTGCACTCAAAACATTGTGCCCTCTCATCTACATTTTGTATGATGACCTGCAGGATTGTCTAGCAAATGGAGCTTTCCTATAACATTCCTCATGTCCACCATGAACTAGCAGCCTCCTGGCTCCTCTCAGCAAGGTTTAGACAAACCCAAAAGCAGAATTGAACAATTTGCAGCCAAGTGGAAGTGCAGGTGGCATTTTAAGGAACTGTACCTGTACGGTTATGTCATCCTCTGGTCTCAGCCTCTCAGAGCTTAATGCAAATGGCAATGGAAGTGTGCAACCAAATATTTAAATGAGGGAACAGGGAAAGAAAAATCTAAACTTTTCTTGGTGTCAGTAACATGAAAAGCACAACAAAAACAATCATTCTGAAACCAAAGTGTCCATTGCAAAGTTTCAGGCTATTTATTACTCTATGATAAAGAAGCTAAGTAGATTAACAGACAGTAAATGCATGGTCCATGCAAACTCCTGTTTGTGGTCACCTGAAGGGTTTGAGAGGTATTTTCCAGGGTGGCTTTCTCTTCCAAGCTTTGGGTTTTATTCTGCTATTTTTATAACTGTCCCAGGAGATTACATAATTTTGGGGAAATGGCGATATCAAGGCAAGCTATTCCGGCCTTGCTTGGGATAAACGACGTGGATTATTTGATCGTTCCCTGCTGATCATTTTAGTACTTTTAGCATCTTACACATGAGCAAGAAGCTGGAATAGGCTATTCAGACCTTCAAGCCCTGATCAATAAGGTCGTGGCTGATCTGATTGTGACCTCGAATCCACATTCCCACCTACGCCAATAACCTTTCATCACCTTCTTTAACAAGAATCGATCCACCTCTGCATTAAAAATGTTCAAGGACTCTGCTTCCACCATCTTTTAAGGAAGAGAATGTCAAAGTGTTTGAAAGACTCTCAATGCTCGGATAAAAACATTTCACTGCATCTGTTTTGAAAGGATGAACTCTAATTTTTAAACAGCAGCTCCTAGTTCAAGCTTCCTCATCAGAAGAAATGTCCTCTCCGCACCAGCTTCTCAATACCCCACGGGGTCATCTATGTCTCAATCAAGTCACTTTTAATTTGAGTAATTTGCAACAAATAAAATCCTAGCCTATCCAAACTTTCCTCAGAAGAAACGCTACTCCTTCCAGAATTACATCTGCTGAACCTTCTCTGAACTGCTTTCATTGCATTTACGTCCTGCTTTAAATAAGGTGATCAATTTTGCACACAAATGTCATCACACCAGTGGCCTGTACAACTGAAGTATAACCTCCTTAGTTGAGTATTCTGTTCCCCTCAGAATAAATGATATTATTCTATTAACTTTCCTGATTACTTTCTGCACCTGCATATTAATCTTTAGTGATTCATGCCCTAGCACACCCAGATCCTTCTGATTAGGCTAAAATTCAGCTATCCAAATAAACAAACAGCAAAAATCATTTTAGTGCAGGAATGCCGGGCTTTATTGTGGTTTTCCGAAGGAGAGTGCGATACATCAAATTAATCACCATGAGTTCCTGCATTGATTAGATCAATGAAAATTTGGTTACCACAATTCCTGACTAAGAATTTTCTTTGCACCAATTTCTTAGCGCTGCATCAGCTATTACTGAACTGCACTTGGAACAGTTCCAAGAGAAGGAATGGATTAAGAGAGCAAAAATCAAACAATTTCAAAATGATTGAAGTGCAAAAAGCTGGAAAAGGAATGTATTGGTTGCTTCTCATAACTGAATCAATTCTCAATCATTTGGAAAGTGGAGCACGTTTCCAGATGGCCATGGAGAAAGACTAAGGAGGTGGAGGAATGTCTGAAGCAACAAGCTGATCATCCTCCTGACACCCAGCTGATCAATGGTGTTAATAGCTCTCAGTCAACACCACAACTTTGGTCCCATGGGCCAACTAGTGATCATAAAAGGAGGGCAACACCAGCCCTTGGTTACTGAGCTTGGGAGATGGAAGAGAAGGATGGAGACCAGTCATCTCTTTTTTTTTTAATCAGCTTATTCAGAGATGTTATTACACCACCTCTGGAACAGGTGGGACTTGAACCTATGTCTGCACAGCTCAGAGGTAGGGACACCACCACTGTGCCACAAAGGGCCCTATGGCAGCTTCAGATCCAGGCTTTAAACACCAACTAACTGTGCGGGTGATTGTGTGCTTCAGTCCAATTGGAGGCCTGTTCATTCTGGAGGACATTTTGTGTCACACTCAAACCATGGAGGGGTTTGAACATGGTAATTTGAGAGGGTTCCAGTTATCCTTGTACAGGGGGTTTGTGCTATGGGTTGTATGTAAAATTCCAGACAAGTCTTGGAAGGATTTGTATCAGGGAGGGATTTTGAGAGTTCAATAAACAAACAAGTTTGAAGTTAAGCTAAATTCTCTGTTGTGTATGTTTTGTTCTTTCATTCGTGAAGTTCAAAAACTGTTGTAAGGGGTAGGGGGGAGATTGCGAGCAGAAACCCTTCACATGTATATGCCTGACACCAGACTCTATTCCCAAAGCTACCATCATCAATCATGGCAAATGACTCCCGGGAGGTCAACTGAAACACTTTGGGGGATACCCTCAAAACATCCTGAAGAAATCAAACATCCCCAGTGATTCAAGGAATCAAGACATGTGACCAACCAAAGGAGAGAAGATTTGTTTGGGAAGATACTAAAGA